TGTTTTATTTGAAAACAATCATAGAATTAATTAAAATCTTTAATACTCTGCAAGTGAGCAATCAAAAGAGCAGTGTAAAAGTCCAAAGACTTCCTTGATTGATGTTGTTATAGAAATATTGATCGATTCTGTGTGTACAGTGATGTGACAGCGAGATTGATTGTACGCTACAATACACTTGACACAGCGGAGGGCGTACATGGCACAGCGAACAAATCTGCATCAATCATAATTATTATTATTACTTGGATGAATGTGCGATGGTACGCGCGACAGGTGACGCGCGGGCAGCAGTGTGCGAGGTAGCCCTTACGGCTTACCCTACGACACCTGCTCCACAAATATTGCGAGGTTTTAAATAACTTTAATTGTATAAGAAGAAATTATAGCAATGCTTTTGTTCATTTTCGGGAATAAAATACTGATACAAAATTATTTGTCATAAGTAATTAGTCGATACCAAACGATTAAACTCAGGATGATCGATCAACCCGTGGGGATTCCCAAACATCTTTTTGCAGCTTTAAATATTGTAATTGTAAGCGTATTACCTACTTAGCTACCCGTGAGTTTCACTAGTGCACATGTAAGCTGTCCACAATCCGCACTATTATAGAATTAATTAGCCGCATACATCCAATCAATGTCGGAGAGCCAGTAAATCAATTATGTTCATCTGAATGATGTAAGAGGTTTCCCTTAGAGATCGCGTGCCGAGTGCCACCACATAATGGCTGGTAATTTTGTAAAAACTTCACGTCAGCAGCATTGGCGCGGAAAAAGTTCGTCGCTTTCCAGACGAGTTGGCGCGAAATAGAAACTCGTATGACAATGCACTGCGAGACGTACAGAGACAACTTCTATTAACAAAATGTACCACAACTATGATATCAGATCAAGTGAACGTCCAAAACCATGAAACGGCTATTTTCACTTCATTTTTCACTTCACCTACGAATAAAATTCCTCACCGAGCAACAGATCCGAGTTACTTATCATATAATTATAATCAATCACCTGTAAAACACTAGGAATAAATTGTTGCCAATAATTTGTTCACAATATGTATCGCAGGCCCTGTTATCACGAGTATTTGAATCAACTGAGTGTAACGCACAAAGTGGCGTACATAAAAAGATAAATGTAATCGTAAAACCCGGCTCCGTGTGACTCACGACCAATACGTCACTAATTCTATGTAAAACATTCTACATCACAATACGGAAGATAATAAACAATGAAACTATCACTATTCCAATTGATAATTGTGAAAAACCACAATATTAGGATGAAAAATATTTCGTAACGCTGCTGTCGACGAGTAACTACTGCTGGATTTATAAACACTAAACAGCTCGCCTGAAATGAACATGGCGCAATCTATACGGTCTAATATTTATTTATTGATAAACATACATATAGATTATGTTTTAATAGTCCAATTACATGACCAAATATTTTCGAGAAAGCACTTTCAATTTCGATGAATGTTATAAATAACAGTAGGTAGTCTATTGGCACACTTTAGAGAATAGATCCAATATCGCGAAATCCAGCGTATAACAGTTGTTTGCTTTCTAACTAAAAATATACCCATATGTTCTCAATCATCATGGTTAGAATAACAACAGCAGAAGCTTTCATCGCCTTGGATAATGTGTATATGTGTACTATAGTACATTATTTTTACTGTTTGGTCTTAAAATAGAAACAGTTTGGCACCCAATTTGACACAAAAGTAGTATTCAACGATCCCCCAAAGACCTCTCAAACGAAAGTCTACAACTATCGTTTGTCCATGACATTCAATGAAGTTATACTTTTACATATTTAACCATTAGACTGGGACAATGACCGAAACATAATGTAATTAGCAGCTAGGCCACATTTACAGGCTGATAGTTACTCTAGCTAGGACATGGTGTCATCCGTGACTCACGCTCCACTCTCCTATTTGGTTCGCGTGAAAATGCTTTAATTGTGTCGCATTTCGGACTTATTAGCACTTTATTCTGAAAAGTTATTTATTATGGTAATTGAAAGGCGAACATTGTCTAGACTAGAGCATTTAGCTGTCTAGGGACCTAAATTTAGTCCTATTAATGTTAGAAAGGAAACGTTGCTTTCTACTTTTGTAGGGCGCCGGTGACTAATAATTGTGAAGTATATCGGCACTTGAGTATCATTAATAACAGGTTGCGTTAAATAACAGATTACACACGTCGTACGGTGAATAGTATTTGATTGAATGTGTTGTCGTTAGGACAATCGTTTTCATAATGTATAGGTTTTAAGCCTGTGAGGAGAATACCATGACCCGTGGTTAAGGTACCAAAAACAACGAATTGCTATTTTCGCATTTTATGGCCTGGGTCTATTTATACGTACTTAAATTACATGGAATATAGACAAGCAAGATTCTATATAAGGTTATAGAAACACAATGAGTTACCACATTTTTCTCCGGAATAACAAAAATTCAGGTTTGTAGTAAATGTTATTCCCGCAGCTGTGTGGCGTGCTACATTAAATTGACTATTGAATAGTGATCGGCGTGTGCAATAGAAACGCGTATTGTTTCAAATTATGTGTGGACTACTATGAATCGCTTTCACGTGATATCATTTACACAAAAACGTTATTTTCTACGGCATGTGCTGTGCTATGGGAGAAAGTGCACGAATGATAATGAGTCTAATGAGTACAATGAGGGCTCGATTATTGAGGGACGGTTAGGGACTGACGGCATCAGTGCGCGTTCACTGGTGTTTGACTCGGCGAATGTTATATTCGCTACTTACATTACATGTTAATCTTATCAAGATTATTTGCGTAAACATCTAACTTGTAAAACTGTTTACTTACCAAGTAAACATGTTTGATTAAGAATAAAAGGAGATTACATGTGCGTCGATTTCTAACATAGTTAGCAGCGAACTGACGTGAGTTAGTATGGTAACCATGAGAAGCAGGTGCAGCTGGTTCATCATGCAGACTACCAATCAGATCCCACAGACAATCAGATACTAACTTATCAAATAGATTTGTAAACTTCTTCTACAGATAACAAGTGATAAGGGTTTGAATAAGAACATTTTAATGACTGATAATATTAACAAGATTGCTATTGATTGCAACAGATTATCGAAAGCTATTAAATTAAATATTTGATAACATGGAAAAAATCGATTAGTCAAATACTAATTGCTAGAGATTATTTGAAAGGAGGTAAGATAACTAAAATATATTATAATATTGAAAGAATGACACATTTCATCAGAATGTAAACAAAACCAGGATATATTAAGCATATTTGTGGTTTATTTTCTATTAAAGCAAACAAAACATCATACTTTTATTTCTAGAAAGGTTTAGTAATTATTTAAACATGGCAACTCATACTAGATTCACTTAACAATAGTGTGCATGCATGCATTATACCAATGACAAAGGGCAAAAATCGAGATGTCCAAACAATACAGTGCAATTTGGAATTAACAACTTGTCATAATAGAACTATGCCTTTGATTTATTCACCCCAGGTACATCCTCATTGATGAATCTACATAGTGGATGAACAGTATCATTAGCAACAAATTCAATGTCAAAATCATTTATTTCACTTAGACCAGAAAGACACTTTTGAACATCAACAACAAATTTAAAAGTGATGAAGCGAAGTGATGCTCATTCTAAGGTGTAGATTCCTATGGAGAAGAATGAGCAAGATTCTCCATAGGTCAATCCGGTTTACAATACAATTCTTTAGTTACATAGTTTTGTGGGTTCTAATGTGTTCTCACAACAATGTAATACCAAAATCCAGTCAGAGATTGAAAAGCAAATAACCCTAACAATAAAATCATACAGTCTGGAGCTGACCAGTCGAAGTTTACGGCGCCTATAGGATTAACAGCAGAGTAGTTAACAAAGTAAAACCATATACTAAGGTACAGTGGAATGTGAATGCAGATTGGAAAGGTAGCATCACCTTGGAGCTCCACTATAAGATAAGGTCAGCACAATCACTTGTAGTGATGGGATTCACACAAATAGGATTAGTCATACCTTTAATATTGATACAAAGGTCAAGTCAAAATTAAAAGACCTTCTCTCACTAACAAGCCCACAATCTCTGTTTATACATTTTGATGATTAAAGATGGTTGACTTAGAAAATTCATATTATTACTGTACTTATATAAAACACTGCACATAAAACCACGGAATGAAGTCATTATCAATGTTCGTAACATACAAAACAGTGTCTTACATTATATCTTACAATTTCATGTCATGACTTAATCTATCAAACACCAAGCGGTCACCGGTGACCGCGACCTATTGTTCTTTAATTGTGTCTATAAAACCGGTACTCGACGAGTTAATTTGCAATGTTATTACCCGCAAAAGAAGTTCTTATTAGTTATTAAGCTTTCTATAGCCCTTGTTGAGATAGTTATAGAAAAAGTACTTGTTTTGCTTAGATTTCCATTCCAGTAGACTAAGGTTTGATATCATAAGGAGTCATGTCCACAATGACTCCTAGCGTATTTAAATCCAGTTATACAGGTTTTATTTACATGAAAAGGAATAATAGTTGGAATTCCTTGCACTGCCATAAAACCAACAAAGAATATAAAATAATTAGTAGCTGAGTAAATAAACAGTAATTAATACTCAATGCATTGTTAAACTAGAACATTATTAATGAGCGTCAGAGAAATTTACACCAAGTGAGAAAGTTAAGCAGATTGTAAATTCATGGCTGTTACTACATTTCATGGCACATTACTGAACTAAGCATTGAGGGCAAAGGGAAAGGGGCGGCATACAGCCACAGAGTTCAAGTTTTCTCACTAGAATTGTACATACAGCATATTGGTAAAGGATTTTTGAGAGAAACCATTTTAATATGTAGACATACCAGAGTGCTATATTAAAATAACTTTTGGATATTTAGATGAAATTGCCAATAAAACATCACAATTTAAGTCTCACCTTCTGCTCTTCCAGAAACTTTGAAGATAACTGGTAAGCTAGGGCTGAGAACATCACTGGGGACTCAGCACAGTCTCCACAACGCGGGAGACGGGAGAGAAGGCCCCAATAATACCATGATACACAGACACTTTGCACGACGCTCGTAATACCATTAAACGATTAACTACCGATTATAACAAAAACAATGCAATTAAACTACAGGAAAATTCGCAGAAAATCACTCAGAAAGCAAACGAGTGAGTCACATACGTCTGCTATGACGCCTTATGGCAACGTCTACAAACACTGAAGTATTCCACACACGAGCAACCACGATACAGTAGTATTCCGCCACCTAACCAGGACGGGAAAAGTGCATTAACACGTGAGAACCGTAAGACAATGCGCGTGAAACTGTGGGAGAAGTCGAGGCGTTGCCATTGTAGTAAACATTCATCACGTCATTGACCTACACACCACCGCCTCCGCCGCTACACTTTCTGAACGACGATCTACGTGAATTCTAGAACTTACCTCAAATAAAAAGATGCCGATGGTTTAGCCTCCGTTATAGTATTTCGGCGTAAATTGATTTCACTTATTTCGTCAATGGTCACTCACTTTACACGACTGTCAAAAAGGGTTGATGATCGGTGTCGATGTCGTAGGTAGCGACCTCTTTAGGGCGGTACTCCAAATTGAAATAAACATTTCCTTATAAGTAGGGAGATTTTGTTTATGTTGAATTTAGTACATTTAAAAAAGTTTCTCAAGTAAATATACAGTTTAGGTCATTCTGTAAATTCTATTTTGTAATCAAGGACAACAAAGAGATACAATTTATATTATAATAGATAGGCCATTGGACCCGGCCTATAATATCCTTCAGTTGACAGTGCCGACACGTCTTCAACAGTTGAAATCCTTAATATACTTAAGTGGTTTAAAATAATTTAAAACTATTTTTTTTCCAAATGTGTTTGAATATATCATGATATTAAAAAAATCGAAATAATTAGATTCACATTTAAAAATGTGGATAATTTAAAACAACTAATGGCAGCACAAATAATGTGACATTTTAAATTTCGTTCAAAAATATTACATTTTTCGGAGCTTTGTTCTTATTTAGATCGTATTTAAAATATTAGTACCTATTACTGTAGAAACTAAACGTAACAAATACAAATGATTTGTGTCATCAGTATATATTGTATAGTCTATGGTCAAAACTGTCAAAAACTCATAACAAGTTGCGTTGTGGGTAGGACGGTTTTTGGACTTGCAAAACAACAAACATGAATACTCATTGATTCTTTCAGTTAAAGTATAATAGAAAAAGAAAATGATGTCTGGTGTTAAATTAGAAGTCCTTTGGTCACCTGTACACCATGATAAATTTATATTATGGGGTCCAGACATAACCTTATACGAAGTTTCTCGGATAAAGGAAATTGAGAAAAAAACAACATGTACGTATTGAATTTGATATTTATTTGATTCACTGAACTTGTAGAAACATTTTAAATGTAATTTATGTATACATAAAGTTTAATTAGTGCTAATAATATTATGTTATGAGTTCCTTGTTATCTGGTCAGTGTTATCATAACAAGAGCCAAATTACACATCTAATAAGTATAATAAAGCTGGTATCGTACTCAAATAAAATTAATGATTATGCACGTAACATCGACATTTTTAGCACACACAGTAAATAAAAACAATTAGAATCCACTTTAGAAGGATTTAAGAATGAACTGAAATAGATAAATAATATCAACAGCCAGCCATACCTACTAAGAGTTGTTAGTAAAGTTATTTAATCCCATTTTTGGAATATTTACCAAATAAATATTGAATATATGCATACAAGGTGTCCCTGAAATCGACGATCTAGTGGCACCAGTTGATCGGCTAGGTTCTAATTCCAACATTAATCAGAAAAATAGGAAAAAAAATTTACACATATAATTTTTTTTTACAAGGACTTATGTGTAATCCACGAAAACGTACACCATGTGCCAGTCTTTTTGACTCTTGTTGCTACAATTCTTTATTCTTTCGTCAAATTTTTGCATATTTATAGGTACTGAATAGTGCTGCTTTGGTTTCGAAAAGAATATAAAGAATAGATGTCTATTCTTCTTTGGCTCATGTCATACTAATCCAGGTTTAAGGGTACCTTTGCATCGCATTGCTAATCAGTTCAATAAATATTTTAGCCACCGATTTGTTTGCAGTGCCTAAAAACAAATTCAGAAACCTTGTCCGGGAATCTGGTAATGTTCGGACTCACCAATTATTAATTTGTAGATACATTTTTTCCCTAATGTTTATATATATATATACAGGGTTACAGGGTAAGTCGACTTAAATATTTTATAAATAAAATAATAAAATAAATCTTTATTCAGAAATGTAAATGGACACAGATACAAAAATATTTCTTGGGTAAATGACTTTAAGAGGTGGTAGTATCTATCATTCCTGATCGATTTAACTAAGGAACCCCGTTCTTTGCTTTTTTGTGAAGAATATTAGTTGCTTTATTATTTGAAAAATTTAAATCATACAATAAGGGATCTGACAACTTTTCAAAAACGATTATAAACTAATCTTTATGTTTTTATACCCATAAAAAAAATATTTTCGTTACTGCTTTATTATTAAAACAAAACGTGTTTAAAAATACGTATTTTAAAATTGCCGTGAAAACATCGCCAAACACCACCTGTCAAACTACAGTGTGTGACATCATTTGTGGGTAAATAAACAGTGCAGATCCAGTACCGACACCTGTAATCTGTATTGTTGTTTACGTTTGTTAACCACGTGTGACGTCATGCGACGTGATTCATGTTTCGTTACAGGTATAGACATATAACAATTAATTTGGACTTACTAAAATGTATTCTAGTGTACCTAAAGTGCACCTAAAAACCTAGTATTATAGTCATTAGTCATATCATTTGTATTCCATAATACTGGATCACTATTTAGTATAACATAAGTAAAAATACAGGCGAATAAATAAAGAATTGCAGAATCAAAAGACAGGCACCAGGTGTACTTTTCCATGGATATGACTTAGAATTTTTTAAATGTTTTTCTGATAACTGTCGACTTCAGGGACATCCTGTATAGCATTTAAATAAATAGTAAAATATGTAAAATTAACATAACTTCAACTTTTTGCCTTTCATAGTCACTCCAGTATCATCAACCAGGGGTGCAACAGTGCTAGCATCACAGAGTGCGAGTGGTGTCCGCTGTGTAGACATTAGTGCCATCCCTGAGCAGCCAGAGCCTCTGCTGGCACTCGGCTATGCTAATGGAAGGGTGGCACTCACCACATTGAAGCAGACTTACGATCCCTTAGGGTTAGTTGGCAGAGAGTTCAGTAAGTAAAAAATATTTATATACATAAGTTGGAGTTAAATTATGACATTTAGAATTTATTACTAGCAACCCATTGCACTATATGTCTCATTTTATTTGGTGAATTTTATAAAATTTTACTTATCATGAAAACATGTTTTGTCTGTAAGAGAGCTCCCTTCAATACACTACTATTTTTCGTTTCAGGTCCTCGCTACCCTCGACTTTGTAACTCAGTGTCATGGAGTCATATGGAAACCAACATGCTGGCAGTGGCCATGGAGAAAAACCGCAGCGACCACTGCATCCTGATATGGGATGTGTACCGAGGGTCCATACTCTCAGAGGAGGCTAAGGGTGAAGCTACTTATCTTGCAATAACATCATCAGCATATTAACAGTGCAGTACAAATAAAATGTTTGTGTTCCCCACAGTAACTGATGCTGCATCATCATCATCAGTCACAGAGGCACCCCGGCCGCTGGCTGAGATGGGGCTTTCAGAGACAGCTCACTGTGTCACCTGGGCCAACTTTTCCAATAGAACTCTTATAGCATCCATGAACCTTAAATATATCAAGATATTTGATCTCAGAGGTAATGATTGAGCCCTTTACAGAGGTATTTTTTTTTATATTTGATGGGCCGACGTTTTACCACTATCTCGCATGGTGATAAGCGATGATGCGATCTACGATATAGCACGTCCCATAAGCAACCTATTCGCTCGGGTACCCAGGTACCCTTCAAGAAATACAGACTCAGGCAAAGAATTCCACTCCTTAGCAGTACGCACAAGGAAGCTTGATACGAAGCGCTTCGTACGTGTGGGACATCTACCATGAATCGGTGAAGCTTCGCCCATTGTCTTGTGGTACGATGATGGAAAGGACTAGGGGGAATCAAGTTGTGCAATTCCCCGCACACTCACCGAAATGTATTCGGGAGAAGACCGAAGGGCTTGCAACCTTAGCCTGTCCGAGGCTTTGAGGCCGGGCCTCCACAAGCCCATCATCGTTGGTGACCCTCTTGCCACGCCTCGCAATGTGCTCTAACACACAATAGAAATAAACAATTTTAAATTACAATTAAACTATTTAAATTACAAATTATAGGTAAAAACTTATTATAACTAAATGTTAAACAAGTTTGTGTCAGCAGGTCGATTATATTAGCTGTGTAATAATAGTTCAAAAGTGAAGAGTTTGTTTGTTAGCCTATTTCTACTTGGCCTTATTTTAATTCCTGGAGATGGTGACAAATTAATGAATCATTAATTGATGTAAGCATGCTACAATCTTCAAAAGGTTACTCAGATATTGTGGAATCGGTAATGTATCTACATACTGAGTAATGGGAAAAGCCCTAGGATAAGACATGTCATCGTTATGTCACAGACTTGTCGAGCAAGGCAGTGAATATGACGACTACGCGGTATTGTTACGGAGTGTCGGCGGAGCCCTGCGGCGGGTATCAGATCGCGTCCCGCGGTGAAGGCGTCGCGTGCGTGTGGGACGCGCGCGCCCTGCAGCGCCCCCTGCTCACCCTGCAGCACCCGCGCCCTCTGGCGCAGCTGCAGTGGTGCCCCACCAGGTACCACCGACCATTCAATAGACCACACAGACGCAGTCGCAGAGACTGTAACGTTGACTCACTGTCCCCAGACGTAACTTGCTGGTGTCGCTGCAGCGCGACTCCAGCGCGCTCCGCGTCTACGACATACAGCAGGCCACCAGCGACAACAAGGTCAATATGTCTGATAGCGCGGTACGTACACTAATGCTACAAATATCTGCTTGCTGTAATAAATTTACCACAATAAACTACAAGCCCATTTTGTAAATCTCCAAATAATAATATATTTGTAAAACATAAAGATATGTATTGGTGTAGATTTTATTGAAAAGGGAAAATTTGATATGGTTTGTTATTGGTACCAGCTGGTTGGTCAGGCAGTGGAGGCGGAGCTGGAGGAGCAGAGCACCCCGGGCCCCAGTGTCATCGAGCGCGACGTGACGGTGGGCTCCGCCCCGGCCGCGCCGCTCGTGGCCTTCAGCTGGCACCCAGCGCACGAGGCACGTCTGCTGGCTGTGTGCGCCACCGGGGCCCTGGTCGACTACACCGTGTGCGAGAGGGTCACTGTGTCCTGGGGCGGCGAGGGCTCGCTCGTGTGGACAGGCGGGGGCGGAGCCCTGCGTCTGATGCGGGACGACTTCTACGCCGCTATTAAAGATATCTCGTATGTGATGAAGAGGAGAGCTCAGACCGACTATGGACTTAAGGTAAAAATGGTGTTTCAAGTTCGTAACTACGAAAAATTTTTGTTTCTGAATACTAAGTTATGCCTTATTTGGTTTGCAGCCAGATTTATGGCAGAACGCAGACTTGGCAGATGATGATGCACTGAGTGGTCTGTGGCACTTCCTGGCGCTGAGCAAGTCCCTGGTGGAGGACGGGTGCATCCGCAACAGTCCGTGGAAGCACCCCGGCGTGCGCACCGTGCTGCGCTCCGTGGGGGACGGCGGGTACCGCTCCGAGATCGTGCCGTCCTTGCTGCCCGACCTGCCCAACCGCCGCGTCACCATGTACAGGTGGGACAGTACGGACTGTGTAGCGTGTGTGTGTGCAGGAGTGCGGACTGTGTAGCGTGTGTGTGTGCAGGAGTGCGGACTGTGTAGCGTGTGTGTGTGTGTGTGCAGGAGTGCGGACTGTGTGGCGTGTGTGTGTGCAGGAGCGCGGACTGTGCAGCGTGTGTGTGTGTGTGCAGGAGTGCGGACTGTGTAGCGTGTGTGTGTGTGTGTGCAGGAGTGCGGACTGTGTGGCGTGTGTGTGTGCAGGAGCGCGGACTGTGCAGCGTGTGTGTGTGTGTGCAGGAGTGCGGACTGTGTAGCGTGTGTGTGTGCAGGAGTGCGGACTGTGTAGCGTGTGTGTGTGCAGGAGTGCGGACTGTGTAGCGTGTGTGTGTGTGTGCAGGAGTGCAGACTGTGTAGCGTGTGTGTGTGCAGGAGTGCAGACTGTGTAGCGTGTGTGTGTGTGCAGGAGTGCAGACTGTGTAGCGTTTGTGTGTGTAGGAGCGCGGACTGTGTAGCGTGTGTGTGTGCAGGAGTGCAGACTGTGTAGCGTGTGTGTGTGCAGGAGTGCGGACTGTGTAGCGTGTGTGTGTGTGTGTGCAGGAGTGCAGACTGTGTAGCGTGTGTGTGTGCAGGAGTGCAGACTGTGTAGCGTGTGTGTGTGTGCAGGAGTGCAGACTGTGTAGCGTTTGTGTGTGTAGGAGCGCGGACTGTGTAGCGTGTGTGTGTGCAGGAGTGCAGACTGTGTAGCGTGTGTGTGTGCAGGAGTGCGGACTGTGTAGCGTGTGTGTGGTGTGTGCAGGAGTGCAGACTGTGTAGCGTGTGTGTGTGCAGGAGTGCAGACTGTGTAGCGTGTGTGTGTGTGCAGGAGTGCAGACTGTGTAGCGTTTGTGTGTGTAGGAGCGCGGACTGTGTAGCGTGTGTGTGTGCAGGAGTGCAGACTGTGTAGCGTGTGTGTGTGCAGGAGCGCGGACTGTGTAGCGTGTGTGTGTGCAGGAGTGCAGACTGTGTAGCGTGTGTGTGTGCAGGAGCGCGGACTGTGTAGCGTGTGTGTGTGCAGGAGTGCAGACTGTGTAGCGTGTGTGTGTGCAGGAGCGCGGACTGTGTAGCGTGTGTGTGTGCAGGAGTGCAGACTGTGTAGCGTGTGTGTGTGCAGGAGCGCGGACTGTGTAGCGTGTGTGTGTGTGCAGGAGTGCGGACTGTGTAGCGTATATGTGTGCAGGAGTGCGGACAGTGTAGCGTATATGTGTGCAGGAGTGCGGAGCGCACGCGCGCGCTGCAGCTGTGCGGTTGGGGCTGGGGCTGGGAGAACGCGCTGGCCGGCGTGGAGCGCGCCGAGGCCGAGGGCACGCCGTGCCGCGCGGCGGCGCTGGCCGCCTTCCAGCTGCGCGTGCGCACGGCGCTGGACGTGCTGGCGCGCGCGCAGTCGCCGCTGCTGCGCGTGGTGGCGCTGGCGCTGGCCGGCCTGAGTGACGAGCGTCTGTGGCGGGAGGCGCTGGGGACGGCGGCGGCGGCGCTGCCGGACCCGTACCTGCGGGCGTTGCTGCGGTTCCTGGCCGCGTCCGCGCCCGCGCACCCGCACCACCACCCGCCGCCCCCGCACCAACCCGACTTCGCCGCCGTGCTGGTGAGACTGATTACTACGATATTTATTTGTTTTGTTCAATGTTGACTTGTTCGCAAACGACTGTCCTCATTTTTGCTTTCTATACGCTTCTCCAAAGAATTTAGTATTTTAGGGTCTCTATTGTAAATCATGACTATGTCATTGTAGCGGTAAGTCCCCTCTTTTAGGAGTGGCTTGAGAGACGCTACGGCGTCCTCACCTACAGCCTGACGCAGGTGCTTACCGGACACGGAAGTTTCGGTAGGTTCCTGTTTCGAATTGGGCGGGAGGAAACGCTCGGGTGTCATCACTGCGAGGACCACCCGGAGGACACGGTGGAGCATACGCTGGCTGTGTGCCCTGCCTGGGCTGGGCACCGCCATGTCCTCAGGGATGTGATCGGCGACGGCTACCCCTCGCGTCCAGCTCTGGTTTAGGCCATGGTGTGGACCGAGGGGGACTGGGATCTCGTCCCCTCCTTCTGCGAAGCAGTCATGCTAGCCAAAGAGGAGGCGAGGCGCGTGAGGGAACAAATTTAACTCACGCCCCAGCCGTCGCGGGAGACACTCCAGACGTTGGAGATCGCGTTACAATCTCCGGACACCGTAATTGCGAGTCTGCGGACAGTGAGCAAGGATCGCTCGCTGCCCGACCAGAACCAAACCCGTGCGTACGGCGCCAAGCGTTCCGCGTGCGTTTCGAAGACCCATCAGACCACCACAGATGGGGCCCAATAGGGCTGATGCCCTATACGGAGCCGCGGAAGGCCTAACGGGTTGCCGGGGCTCGGGCTCCTCCAAGAGCAGGAGTAGGAACGGGGTGGTTTTTAGTCAGTCAGCGTCTGACAGTCCCTCTCGCCTAACCTAAGGCGGGAGGGGAGCAGCCATTGGATGATTTACCTCCTCCTCAAAAAAAATACTATTAATAAATATTGAAAACCGCAAGATAAACATTTTTGTAGGTTATTTCCCACTGGTCTAAAGATATTCCGAGTTGCATAACACAGCATCGACCGCGTCACAGAACGAGACGGAGATGCGGCTGGAGGACCGCGTGGCGTTCGCGTGCATGTTCCTGTCGGACGGCGCGCTGCACGAGTACGTGGCGGCCACGAGCGCGGCGCTGGCGGCGCGCGGCGAGCTGGGCGGCGTGCTGCTGACGGGCGCCAGCCTGGACGCGCTGCCGCTGCTGCAGCGCTGGCTCGAGGCCACGGGCGACGTGCAGTCCGTGGCGCTGGTCGCCGCCAGGTGCTTCACGCCCGACCTGCTCAAGGACCCGCGCACTACTAACTGGCTCGACAGGTACGTTGGCCTCTACCGCACTTCAAAAGCATTGAGTAATCCTCGCCGTTTATGAAATCAGTAAAATTAGTCCTGAACTGACACTTAATGAATAAAATAAAAATAACTGTAAATACAATTTTATACGAACGAAACGTAATGTAGTGACATATTTTGCCGACCTATGTGTAGGGTAGCGTGGCCGAGCGGTCTAAGGCGCTGGTTTAAGGCACCAGTCTTTTCGGAGGCGTGGGTTCGAATCCCACCGCTGCCATAATGTCTTTTTGCTGTTTAGTGTTAATTTTGTGTTGTGTAATTAATTATGTATTCTGTCCATTGTTTAATATAATGATGAGCGTAATAAAAATTATTACATGCAATATATTATAATATATTATTGTATGCAACTATTTTGCGTCAATGTTATTAATAAAATAATGTGTGATTTATGTATTTATAATTCATTGAGGACTTACAGCTTATAAAAATAACGTGGATTAGGTAGGAGTACTAGACCAGGGTCAAAGCCTACAAAATTTATAAAAAATGAAAAAAAATACAGTAGGATGAAACCCATTAGAAAAGGAGGGGAATATGATCAAAATGAAAGGAAAAATAAATTACGGTCGATCCGAGTTCGGGAAGTGGGAGGGGGTGAGTTTTTAAGGGTAAATAATAAAATAAAAACTGCGTTTAAAAAACCGACTTCAAAAAACCAAAAACTAATAACAAACAAAAAGTCAAAACTAAAAAGCAAAAAGTAACTATTATTAGTACTGATAGGTTACCCCCCCACTGATAGGTAAGAAGTCGGTGCCATAAGTTCCGGGCTATTTCCAAAAAAAGATTTGGAAATCGGGTCACAAACGGCGGAGTACTGCGCGAACACACAAAAAAAAAACAATCAGCCGAACATAGTACCTCCTCCTTTTTTTGAAGTCGGTAAAAATGGTTTATCTTGATTTCCGGCAAAACTACAAGTCATATGGAAAAAAGTTAAATAAAAGCAAAACTACAAGTCACATGGAAGTCAGTCAGTTGGTGCGTAACTCATCAGTACTAATATACTTATTGTTTTGCTTTTTAGTTTTTACTTGTTTTTAGTTTTAAGGTTTTGTGCGGTTTTTAAAACGCAGTTGTTTTATCATTTTTAGTGTAAAGCTACATAGACCCGTTTAACCCGTTTTACAAATTTCATGCAGCAGCAAACATACATAAAAAAGAAACAATCATTTGAACATAGTGCCTCCTCTTTTTTTAACCGACTTCCCAAAAAGGAGGAAGTTATCAATTCGGCTGTATGTTTTTTTTTGTGTGTATGTTACGCAATTACTCCGGCGTTTGTGGACGGATTTTGATTATTCTTTTTTTTTTTGTTGGAAAGGTCATACTCTCAGGGTGGTCCCATTTTCATCAGGTCAGGATCTGATGATGGGATTCCATGGAAACCGAGGGGAACTTTTCGAAATAGTATGGGTGGCGAGAGCGTTTGTTAACTTATTGATATAGTATTTGAAACTACTACAATTTGATGAAGATATGGAGTTGATGTTGGAGTCAAGAGACAGCTGAAGGAACTCCTCGAGAATTTGTAGCAATGACCCCGTGACTTGACTTAATATCCTGTGACCCCTAAATGGGGCAGAGGGCGTCCACTGAAGTTCTCCATCGCGATCTGTCTTGAGTTCTCAGTTTCCGTGACTGCCACACAGGTCTCAGCTGCGTGAAAGTAGCTCGGGCTTTGGCGATCCTTGAAGTGATGTCCTCTTCAGTACCTCCAGTCTCTGACACGACGTTCCCGAGGTAGGAAAATTTGTGGACACGTTCCACTGCCTCTGTGCCAATCAGCAACGGTGTAGTATTCTTCACACCCGTTCTAATTTCTTTGGTCTTTCGGGTGTTAATTCTCAGGCCAGCCTTTGCCGCCTCCTGCCGCAGGTCATCCAATTTTGCTAGCATGTCGGCGTGGGTATGACTCAGCAGGCATAGGTCATCGGCGTAATCCAAATCTTCCAAAAAGTTGGATAATCTCCACTCTATGCCGCGGCGCCGATTGTCAGTGGTGCGAAACATGATTCCATCCAGAACGACCAAGAAGAGAAGCGGTGATAAGAGGCAGCCTTGTCGGACACCCGCGTGTACCACTATGTCATCGGAAATAAGACTTTACAGGAATACGTCCTATACATACTCTCTAACAGCCGGACGATCTTTGGCGGAACCCCCATGTCGAGTAGACGGGACCAGATGCTAGACCACTTCAACGTATCAAAGGCCTTTTCGAAGTCGACAAAGGTAAGATAAATCTCCCTTTGCCATTCTGTTGCCTGCTCTAGAATGATACGAAGAGTGTTGATCTGGTCCGTACATGAACGGTTTGATCGAAAACCTGCCTGCTCCTTTCGTAAAAGAGAATCCACGGCCTTTGACAGCCTATCCAGGAGAATCTTGCAGAAAACTTTTGCGGGAATAGAGAGCAGTGTAATACCTCTCCAGTTATCGCACAGACTAAGATCTCCTTTCTTAGGTACTGTGATTAAGCCCCTTGTTCCAGTCATCAGGAAATTCCTCCAGCGTCCAGACTTTTTCAAAAAGATGTGTCAGGACGTCGAAAGCGGAGGATAAGTCGGCTTGAAGCATTTCCGCGGTTATCAAGTCGAGTCCTGGTGCTTTTCCTAATTTCAAGGAGCGGATGGCTTGAGCAACCTCACTAGCTGATGGAGTCTCCGTGTTGATGTCGAGTAGCCGAGGTGGTGTGGAATTAACAGCTAGTGCACCGGGTGTCGCTGTGGCTGACATGCGAAAGACCTCCTCAAAGTGTTGACGCCAGCGAAGCAGCTGCCCTTCGGATGTTGCAATGAGCTGACCGACTTTAGACTTCAGTGGCTTTTTCTTCCTGAGCTTGGTGTTACGTGTCAGCGTTTTCGTGGCCTTATATAGCTCCTTTAGGTTCCCAGTGTTTGCAGCCTGTTGAGCGTGATCAGCAATACCGTCAGCTCACTGTCTCCTATCTTTGCGGGTGCTACGATAGATTTCTTTCCACTTGGTGCGCAGCTACCGCAGCGTGCTGGACAGCTGGCAGCTGTGGTGGGCGCGCTGTGCGCTGGACACGTGGGTGTGTGGCGCCCCCGCCGCCGACTGGGCGCCCGCCGCGCCCGCCGACTGGCGCCCAGTCGGCGGGCGCGGCGGGCGGTATGTAACCGTGTCCCTTGGTGCGCAGCTACCGCAGCGTGCTGGACAGCTGGCAGCTGTGGTGGGCGCGCTGTGCGCTGGACACGTGGGTGTGTGGCGCCCCCGCCGCCGACTGGGCGCCCGCCGCGCCCGCCGACTGGGCGCCGGGCGCCGGGCCCGTGCCGCGCGCCGTCTGCGTGGCGTGCACGTACTGCGGCAAGTCCGTGGCCGCGCCGCCGGGCCACGCGCGCCCGCGCGCCGCCTTCACGCGCCTCCCGCCGCCCGCCGCCAAGATGAAGGTATCTACATACTCGAGTCATACACTATTTCTTATCAACTGTTCTGTACGTAGAAAACCATACTTCGGTACGAAGTGGTACCACAGAGACCGTGAGAACGCATACTACTTGTCTTCATCCGATCACTAATTCTTATTTCTCAATCTTTAAAGAGCTGGCAATACGCTTTAACTTCTCTGATGTTGCGGATGTCCATGAGCGGCACCATATTCTTACCATCGGGTGACTCGCCTATTCGTTTGTTAGCATAACTGTGTTCCACAAAAAGTAAACGCAATAATGTATCTAAAATAAGTTTGTTAATTAAAGTATGATCCCCTGAGACTGGTGTTCCTGTATTGCAGCAAATCTCGTCGTGTCCGAACTGCCGCAAGCCGCTGCCCCGCTGCGGCGTGTGCTCGCTGCACGTGGGCACGGGCGCGGGGGGCGGCGGCGGGGGCGCGGGCGCGGCGGGGGCGGGGGCCGCCTTCGGCTCGTGGTTCAGTTGGTGCGTCGCCTGCAGGCACGGCGGACATGCGCAACATCTCATCAACTGGTTCAAGTACGGATATCTATTGTCAATTCAACTTTAAAAAAATCTTACCCTATACATTTAAAATTTTCTCCTGTGTCTAGATCACATAAAGAGTTACTCTGTGTGGGAATTGGACTATACTTTTCGCGGCAACCAGTTACTCATCTCACGACTGCTAATTGCTTAGTCTCGATATCAATTCCTGAGTTGGGTAAAATATTGATATCTCATCAAAATATTGATATCTCATCAATATTTTCAAAAATCCCGAGTAATAGAGTAGCACAGAACCTAAATGACAATTTCGTAACATAACTCGGGAACAGTAACAATCTTATAATATTTAAAGACTACTGAAACTTTGTTCATGATCTTGTTTTTGGCTTGACCTTGCAAATAATTCGGTAATTACAACCGTATACATAAACGAAACATCAACGGAACCGCTGACAAATAAAATACCTCTTTGGGGTTGATTACAACTATTATTTCATAAAGGAAACATTTAATTCCTTACTTTTATGACAGTAAAACTTGTTTTTTACCACCTGTTGGCGTTCCTTGGAAGCGTCCCGTTATACCGTGTATACTGACTAGTGTATGGTTGCAGGGAGCACACGGAGTGCCCGGTCAGTTCGTGCAACTGTCACTGCGCCACGCTGGACCCGCCCGACAGGCACTAGTCACTGCTAACTATACCTTATGTCTATACGAGTTAGAACTACTTCAGTTTATGTGGTAAGCGAACAATCTTATATTTTGTGCCGTGTAACAGATCGATTAGAACAAAGAAAATAAACTACATGTCCTTCGTAAATCTGTAATTACATTTATCAGATTTGCATTCTGATTTATGCCTATTGTAGTAACAGCAAATATTTACACAGTTAAGGGCGTCATTCAAGAAGCCGACGCGGGAATCAAACCCCCGCAAATTGCTTGGCATATTTCACTATTGTAATTTTAAACTTATGTTAAATTGTAATCGTTAAAACTGTTGTTTATTGATTTAGATATCACTGAACTCGGGTTCGGGTTCTATGTTCTAAGTACTTGTCCGCTCGGAGTCCAAAAGAAGTCCGAGTGCTGTATTGCAGTGTTCCGTGTACTTAATGGCTCTCCCGACATTCTTATTACTGTTGTAAATTGTAGTTATCTGTGTAAATATTTACTACCTTACTGGCTGGGGTTGAGTTTGTTATATAAAGTCAATAAACCAGTAAATGATATCCCTACAAGCTCAAAAGAAACTATCATATTCCCTGCTGTCTATTCAAGTATTTTGTGTTCATAGCGTAATGCAGAATGTGTCGCATATATTTTTATACGTAGCTTGTAAGTGATTGGTTATTTTTGTACACACTAGCTTTATCATAAAATCAAATGTATATAGATTATAAAATGCTGTATATATATATATTGACACAGCAGATTATGACATGTAATTGTATTCAGTAATTTGTATTATTACTATTAGCAGTTACTCAATACAGTTATATGTATAATTATTATTTTGTTACTATGTTGATGATTTCTAGTGCTTGCATTTATTGGGTGTTTATAGACATTAAAATTAAGTAGCATATGAAATTAAATATTGTATTTACTGTATGTCAATTGCCGATTTTAACGGGTAGGTACTAAGTGACAACAGCTGTATATGTTGCAACTGATTTGGAACCAATATGTTATCGAATGAAATATTCTGTAAATATATCAAAGCAAATACTGTAAGCCTGGCGTTTCAATTTACCCAACTTTTGTAGGTGAGCTTGACACTAAGTACCGAGCCGAGGGTCAAATAAAAATTCCTTTATATTTCCAAATATATATATAATATATATACATTTATTAAATAATCATTTCATCTTTATTCCAATTTAACAATAAAATTCTCAAAGACACAACATTTGTTTAACTCTGTTTATCGTACAAGGATCCCATCCCGTAGGTACGTTGTATACACACAGACAGCCGTCATACAAAAATATATAATTAGAGGATGCGAGTAACGCACGGACAAGTAGTCGGCTATAGTCAACAAGTTCCACCTTCCAGAAACACATTGCACTCATTACTCGGCTAGTTAAATATACCATTCTCTTATAAACATTTACATCTGACTTCACAATATATATCTAACTTCTCATACAAGTTTGTTTGCAATCCTTCAGGATTCATCACATAGTGAAAATATTAAATCAACACAGATACACAAGCCCCGCGGCGCCATGGCGGCGGGCCTACATATATATACAGTTGAATAGTTCTGTAATTCGTTTCATATTAAGTTATCACACGTTACACAAGTGGGAGCGGCGCCGAGCGCGACGCAACAGACAATACATGAACAAGCCCGACACGAGGGACACAGATATACGAACATTTTATATCCATCATAAAAATTTACTTTACAACAATAGATTTGCACAATTTCCATTATATACACATTGAATAAATACTTTTTGTAACATCAGAATTTGAAACAATCTTTGGTATAGTAGTCGCATCAGGCGGCGGTGGCTCGTCCACTCTCACTACACCTTAAAGCTCTCGTAGCACAGTCGCACAGACACGGATTCGAGTACGTCTCACTCCACGCTACTATCGGCTAACTACCGGAACCGGAATGTTGAAGTGTCCCCGGCGGGGGCCCAGCCCCCAGCCCCGGGCCCCCGGGCCGCTCACTTGCCCTCGTCCTGCTCCATCGGCTCCTCCGACACCGAGCGGGAGCTGTCCGCAGATCTGGAATTATCATTAGTTGCTTACTGTCTATGTCTCGCAACTGTCCATGCTGAACAGAACAAAGATAAATTGGAATAACTTGAACTCTAGTACTGAGACACGACCCGTCAGAATATATTTTGTTAGCATATTGTTAATTCAAAAAGTATTATATTAATAAAAAAAACTTCTATACATAGTTCTACTAATCAGTTATCTATAATAAAATCGTAGGAAAGTGAAAACTGTACATTGTATATTTGTTTGAAAGAATGCTTTAGACTTGATCTGCTGTCTGTTTGTCTGTATGTATGTCCGGGATGAACTCAAAAAGTGCTGCATGGATTTACTTCAAATTTTGCATGAATATTACTAATGGGTCGGGTCAACATATAGGCCATATTATCATGCTATCAACTACAGGGGAGGAGCTATGAATCACTATTAACTTTTTCACTATTAAAAACAAAGAAAAAATATTTAGAGTGTTATTCAGAGTAAGGTGTGTGAATGTGATGTATATAATTTTTATTCAAAAATATAAGCATTTTGAATAAAAATTGTAAGAGAGCGACAATATAGTAATTGAATGTCAACAATATTTCCTACCCACTTTTTAATAAGTTATTTATTTACAGTAAGTACGTGGATAAACAAGTTCTTAATTCAAATGTCATTCAAGAATATTTCTTACGCAAGTTTTAATATACCTCTTACAATGTTATGAAGTCATCATGTGATGATATTGATATTTGGTACTTCGGAACAAATGTGATGAATTCTTATTGCAACTGACCGATGTCTGTATGATGATTCTGATGCAGTACGTCAGGGTGTTTTTAATCATTTTTTTAAAATAATTTATGTGTGCATGAATAACCGTAATCAATAAATAACAGTCATCAGTTACTGATTGATTGACCAAGACTGATTTCAAAATCTGGATTGATTTTCGGTTTTTTATAAAGTTAATGTCATAAAATTATTTTAATCTGGAGATTTTGGATTGAGATCGATTATGAATCTCGGCATTACATGTTGGGTGGATTGGGTGGACATCGTTAAAAACTGATGGTTAAATCCAGTAGGACGTGTTCTAAGGATCGCTTTTACAAGAGCGAGTTGTAATGTTTGCGCGTAGAAGCGGTAGGTACCTGTGGTCGGAGTTGGCGTGGTGCGAGTGCGCGGGCTGGTGCATGGACAGCGTGGCCATGGCCTGGCACGTGTCGGCGGCGTCGCGCTCCGTCTGCAGGCGGCCCAGGCGCGCCGCCGCCACGGCCGGCGCCGCGTCCAGCGCCGACACGGCCAGCAGCTCGGCGCCGCGCTTGAGGCCGCGCCACGTGGCCTGGTGCACGGCGATGGTGGCGCGCAGCGCGGCCTGCGCGCGCGCGTGCGGCACGCGGGCCAGCTCGGCCAGCGCCGGCGCCGCGCCGCGCTCGCCCAGCAGCGCGCGCACGCACTCCTGCGCGCAGTCGCACATGGCGGGCAGGTCGTAGCCGCCCTCCAGCGCCAGCACCAGGCGCCCGCCCGCCAGCTGCTGCAGCTCGCGCGTCATGTGCGCGAAGCAGGCCGCCGACACGTTGTACCCGCCCAGCGGCGCGGGGTGCCCCGCCGCCGCGTCGAACCCGCACGACACCAGCACTATCTCGGGGTCGTACTCCTGCACACACCACGACCTGCTCAATACTATTCCGACCAATCCGCCTACTATCTGTTTCGAGTGAATCCTTTAATTACCTCGAACGCATACATAATATTTAACGCTCACCTTGGCAATAGGCATAATGACGGAGCGGAAGGCGGCGAGGTACTCTGCGTCAGCTAGCGGAGGGTTAGTCCCCCCGCACCAGGCCACGTTGACGGTGTACCCGAGCCCGGGCCCGGCGCCGGCCTCGCTGGCGGCGCCGGTGCCGGGGAAGAAGTTGCCGTCGTCGTGCCGGTGGATGCTCATGTACAACACGTGGGGGTCGGAGTAGAAGATCTGTTGCGTGCCGTTACCGTGGTGCACATCCTGCAATGTATCCTCAATATGTTAAGACCATTCAACTGTTGGATGTTTAGGAATGAAGCGAGTTTTGGTAAAAAATCTTTGAAAATAAAGTCTTATCACACTGGTAGATTGCACAAAGAGACTTGCTACACACAAGCACACATATTTGCTGCGTGTCCGCATCAAATCCACTGTACAGTTGTGGCGTGTTCGCACCAGTACTCGTTACCCGCTCGCTCCGTTTAGAAGACGCTTGCAATTCGGTACTATGATAAGACCCTGAATAAATAACGAATCGCCTCCGAGTGCTATAAGGTCAAATTTAATGTAATGGAATAAAGATATGACAAGGACACAAGATAAATAATAATACTGACCCAGTCGACGATGAGTATCCTCTGCAGGCGGTGCCGCGTGTGCAGGATGCGGGCTGCGATGGCGACGGAGTTGAAGAAGCAGAAGCCCATGGCCTGGTTGGGCTCGGCGTGGTGGCCGGGCGGGCGCACCACCGCGAACCCGTTGCGCAGCTCGCCCTTGGCGGTGCGCACGGCCAGGTCCAGCACGGCGCCCGCCGCCGCGCGCGCCGCCGCCGGCGTGTGCGCGTCCGACCAGGCCGTGTCCGAGTCCACGCCCAGCCCGCCGCACGCCAGCCGCACCAGCTGGCGCACGCCGCCCAGCGCGCCGCCGCCGCCCGCGCCGCGCCCGCCGAACACGGCCACGTGCGCCTCCGAGTGCACCGACTGCAACGGCACATCTCGTCTCATTACAATCATTGCCATCGAAGCCCTTCAAAGTCCCCAAATTCTTCTCTACAAGATTCTTTCGTCGTCGTTGATCTCACTCTACTGTCAAAACGAATAGGTCGTATGAAGTGGTGTCCGTACCTGCAGTTCCTCGAAGGTGGCCTTCCTGGGCCGCGTGCGCTCGGCGCGCGCCACGAGCCCGGTCTCGCACAGGCGCGCCCACACGGACTGCAGACGGCCGCCGTGCTCTGGGTGCGTGGGCGCGTGCGCCCCGCAGGCGCAGCCGTGCTTCAACATCAGCGCGTCGTACGCCAGCCCCGTCGCCGGCGTGCGCGCGCCCACCAGCGGCGAGCTCAGCGCGCGCGCCAGCGGCGCCGGCTCGCACGGCGGCGCGGCCGGCGCGGCGGGCGCGGGCGCGGGGGCGCGGCGCGCCGTCAGGTCGATGACCTCGCCCTCCTCCTCGCGCAGCTGCGCGGCGGCCGCGTCGTGCGCGCGCGTCAGCACCTGCCGCCAACACACGCGTCACTTTGTGCCCTGGAGGTATGGATCTCCTTCCACACTACTCATTTCAGAAAATCTGGCTATACTTGTCCGGGTCCCTCTATCCCTCCCTGCTACTGTAAATCTCTACAACTGTAAATCAGGATCTGATTGGACTTTGACTTAATAAAATCTCGAAGGTTTCCAAGGTTTCAATTCCATCTAAGTAACTGATATTCTACAGTAAATTTTCCAAAACGCTTTCTTCTTGATTTTTTTGTAGGAAACTAAAAGGCTCATGCTATGGTACTCACAGTCTTTCGTATCTGGTCGCGCAGGTAGTGGTGCGCGGAGGGCGGCGTGAGCGCCGGGTCCCCGAGCGGCAGCGGCGCGGAGTGCGTGCGGCCCAGCGGGCGCTTGGCCAGGCGGCCGCCCAGCGCCGCCCAGCCCTCCGCCTCCGACACCGGCGGCAGCACCGCCAGCGGCGGCGGCGGCGCCAGGCGCGGCGCGGGCACGTGCGGCCGGCCCAGGCTGATGTTGGGCATGGAGGGCGACGAGAACAACAAGTCGGCGGCGCGGCCGCAGCCCTCCTCCTCCTCCCGGATGGGCGCCGTGGCCCCCGCGCCCCCCGCGCCCACACCTGCTGCTCCCGGAGGGGAGCCGCGTGGGGAGCTCCCATCGCAATCTACACAGAACACAATCATTTTTACACGTGTCCAAGTAATGCAAACTTGCAAATCTCTTTATTCTCCTCATAGATCCCATTCCACTGTGGATTATGTCTTCATGATATTAATTAGATCTTAATAACGACTCAGGTCACAAAACTTAACCATGTAACCTATCTTTTTGTTCAAATCAAAAGTATGTATTAAAATGTTTTAGTAGGCTCCAACATCAGACAATGCAAGCACAACTAGTGGACTAGAACACTCCATGAAACACTCACTGCGATGCTTGACGCGCGTCTTGAAGGGGCGGCGCGCGAGCGGCGAGGCGCGGCGCTCGATGACGCGCGCCTTCAGCCGCACCTTCAGCATGTTGGGCTCCGACGCTGCAAGGTTAGTGCACGCGCATGCTCACTTTACGGGTTATGTTACACACACCTACACACTGCGTCGCGGGGCGCTGCCGTCGTTTTACGATATTCACATCGATTAATGTATTTGTATTGTTATTATCAAACTGGGTCTCAGCACACGACAGGGATGCATCACAACACGTCGGTATGAGCAGCACGTACCAGTCTTCCGGAGCGGGTAGTCGGGCGAGGGCTGCGGCGGCGCGGCGTTGAGCGCCAGCGGCAGCGGCGCCGCCAGGCGGTACGGGTGGGTGGCCGTCGCGCCCGTCGACGTGATGGACTCGCCCGACGACGACTTCACTATGCCCCTGCACGTGCACACATTGCGTTAATGCTGGGTTCGGCCAGAACTCATCAACAATTAATACAATCGGTACCTAGCTGACTTACCAATTTCTATATGATGAACCAGGTACTGTTCCATTTGCACTAGCTTGTTTCTTTTTTAAGAATTGCTGAAAAAAGAAGAAGACAAGTCAGAGACCATTGCTGTAGGTACAGGCCCGGAGTGAGTGCACGCAGGCGTGCAGCGAGGGTGTACCTGCAGCTTCTGTTTGACCTCGGTGGAGGCGTTGGCGCTGTGCTCGTGCTTGTCCTTCTTGCGCAGTAGGTCGGCGCGGTCCCGCTCGTGCCGCTCGTGCCGCTCGCGCGCCTCCCGCGCCTCGAGCGCCTCGCGCGCCTCGCGCCGCGCCGCCGCCTCCTCCATGGCCTTCTGCTGTTCCCACAACTGGAATGTTAGTCACGCCGTTATTGTTGCTTACTACTACCTCCCCGTGGAAGGTAGCATCGCAAGGAATCGAGGACCAACTCGGTTTGGATGATTCATAATATCTAATCAGTTTGAATCTTCTTAAATCGGTTATTTTAAGAGGTTTATAAAATACTGCTGCTTGATGTTGGGGTTCTGAATAAAGTTTCTTACGAGAACAGTACTTTAATGTATGATGTAAAGGTTGAATCATGATGGCATAGCGAATATATATAAATACTGGCTCAGTAATTAATCTTTAGGTAAATAAAAATTGTAATTGTATGTAACTAATTTCTCGGTCTGAGATTCTCCCTTACCGATGATAGGTAAGTTTCTAAATTCGGATTCAATGGAGTTAATTCACATACATTTTCCGTATTGCAAAGGTAGACGACCATCCTTCCATTTCTATATAAATCATCGATATTTTTCGTGATTTCAAGCCCCCAAAAAGTGCAGACTCACACGAAGTGTTGCTACACCGTTCCTATCGTTTACGTATCGATTTACTATATTTTTATTTTTACTTTGATAATTTCTCTACGTAATATTATTCTTGGTATTTACACGAAAAATAATAATCATGAGTTGCCATTACTCCAGGGGATTATACTAATCAGCAATCCCGATAATTTGCACATTAATGGAAGTTGCCAAAAGTCTTGTCCTATAATTATAAATCACGGTAGAACTGACGAGTTATTATTTTAATATCAATAATGCGAAACCTAACAATAATCCTAAAAGCCACTTAAACCCTAAGATTAGTTTTACTTGACAGATGAATTTCCACCGTTGTAAACATGGCTGTACATGCAAAGAGTGATCGAAAGTTTATTGAGTCTAGTGCGCATAATAGAGAATGGGACTTAATATATTGATGATGAACAAACGACCTCATATTGGCATGCAGTGAGTAAATAAACAAAAATAATTTCGATAATGTTTGCTCTCGAGTTTATTCACTACTGCTTGATAATACTTTCGCAATGATTCACAGAACCTTGTTCTGTCAAACTAGTTAATGATACTAGCACAAACATTCAGCGAATCATTTGGTAGTGAGTAAGCATGCGTCACGGATGCCATTCCCACTCCAAATGGAACATCATCAGATCAATGTGCGCGCGCGCACGCCGCGACAGTGCGCTCCAAATAACATTGTTTACATAGCTTGCCAATGTCAACATCATTATTTACACTGGCAAGTATTTCCAGCAGTTTGTTGTACAACTTACTGCCCTTCAAGTTAGTCCCATGTTCAGTAAACAAAACAACTTTCTACACGTTTCTAATTTGGTTCAAGTTCGAATAAACCAAACTTATTTTCATTTTTATGTGGCTCTATGCATTCTATTTATAAGTATTCTGTGAATTAATATGCAAATACTAATTAATCGATAGTGAGTAATGGCTCCACGCAGAGGCGAGGCGAATTGGAAGAGTCCAATTCATATGAAAACTTTCACAATGTCACAGATAGCTTATCACGGCTGTACGTAACAAAGATTTATAATGAAACGTTCGATTCACAAAATATTATCTTCAATTTGTGGAAAAATCCACTTTGTTGTGTTTGATGGGTGTTTATTTTTCGATGTTGTTAATTATTTTGAAACTGACAGCTATTTCGGGTGAATAGTGTATTGTGAATAAAGTTAAGTACCCGAAGGTGACCTCACGCACTCTAGCTCAGATAACTACAGCGTATTTAGCTAGTCATAGCATACATAAAGTAGTAGTGGTGTCATGGTGTTACAACAATGGTATTTCACAACCCACAAAGTGGGAGAATTAGCTGGGAGCAGTATGCTACACGTCGCCCACACAATCCCAGCAATGAGTTAATGACAAAAGGTCAGTAATGAGGAATTTAACGAGACGTTTGTCACCATATCGCGAGGGGAGCGGCAGAGCTGTGTCGGAGGTAACACAAAGTATGAATGATGTAATTACTAGCAGTTGTACAGCCCATTCATGACTATAAATACCGGCGGCGTGTTGTCGTGAGCCAGCTCGAGCTACATTCCAGCCGCTGATGCTTAACTATTTGTTGTATAGATTTATGTGGAATCTTGAGGATTGCTGCTATTTCAGTACTAGTACATTTGCCAAACGATACTTATGTGTATAGAAGCGATCGGTTCTTTATTGAGCACATTATGAACATAAGAGACGATACTAATGCCATGTTCCTATTATAGAATGCTGGTTCAGTGGGGTGGCAAATGCTCGTGCATTGTACATAACAAACAATCAAACAAGAATACAGTTTGAATCAGATTTTTTTAAGTAATTGTTGAAATCAAAGATATTCTTATTGTCCTGTAAAATTGTACATGATTGTATACCGAGTGAGTTGTACCTGTAGTGGTACAACATCAATCACAGCCAAACAAGAGATTTGATCAAAATAAAGTAATTAGTTGGTGGCTCACGGGACGGCCCGGCGACCGGTCCGTCACGTGACACCGGCGCGACTGGTTCAGATACACTCCGCGCTAAGGTGAGCATGTAGCACTCTTGCTTGATGATCACTATTTATAAACATGATCTTTCGTAGTTTCGTCAAACTGCGTATTTTAAAACGTGTACATTTTATCATCACTTAACATTAAAGTACTGTTCTCAAAAGACAAACTCAAAATAGAAATAAACTTATACACTAGGATGTAATAAATAAAGTGTTCGATTCGTATTTACCTGCAGCATATTTACCTTCAAATGGTGCATCAGCTGTTGTTCATGTTCCTGCGCGAGCTGCTGCCGCTGCTGCTGGAAGTGCTGCAGCAGGATCTCTTGCTGCAGCTGCTGCTGTTTCTTTAACTGCAAACGTTATCCGAACCATTAGAACTGCGCGGCTCGTTCTGCCAACGACACGTAGCACACACTCGAACATGTTATTTAGCAAGCGACGGCATTGTGTGTGGAGGTATGTTATATTTTATATTATTTATTGGCTATAAAACAGCGAAGGCAAAGATCAGAACCTGATAGAAAGTTATTCTCCTCTCACAATACCGGCCATTTTCCTTATTTTAAGAGATCGTGTATAGCGGTGTTATAAACTGTACATCTATAAAAATTCAAGCTGCTCCATAATAAAACGTTTCTTTTTATTTACATAACTGTTATGATGAGTGGCTCGGTTGTACGTACGACTACTTACACTAATTGTATTAATTCATTGCTCATCCCACGTACCACTAGCGAGTGTTATTGTTACTGCAGTTTACAATTAGGCAAAACCAGCTGTGTCTTATTCAACTACTTCATTGGAACATTTCATTCAGTACTCGCACTCTGGCACTGTCGTACTGTATGCGTTAAGTTACACTGTATGCTGTACGGAGGATCATGTCCAAACGTTCGTCTTGCGCGCACACTGCTTGACACTCGGGTGATATGACAGTCAAACCAATTTTATTGTTACATGATGTTTTGGTGTTGATTTTGCCCAATAAATTAATAAGGCTGACCGGTACAGCAATGCCTCCAAATGGGGTACATTACAACTTAATGATGCAATGACTCATGACTCAGGCTTGATATTCCAAAATGCCAGCAATCTTTGGCGTCTGCTCAAATATGTTTGGACAACATTTGGACATGTTCATTGAATGCGACACATTGAGACTGTAGACTGTACACAGAATTATTGTAATTGAAACTCACTTGCATCAGGAAACTACTCTCTAATGTCTGTTTCGCCCGCTCAGCAATATGGTTCTTTCTTGGGTTCTGATTCTGACAACGAGAGATGAAATATATGTAGGACAGTCGACCACGACCGGGGGAGGGACTATTAGTACTACCGGGGGAACAAACGGGGAGCTCTAACACGTAACTACCAATTTTCAGCGTCAGTTATCTTAATGATTTCAATATTTTCTTGAAAATATAGGACTTGTATGAGAATAATAAATACGTGTTGGTTCTCCCCAGTTTGTATTTTTTTCCGCAATATATGTTGCTCGTAGCAAAGATTAGATGAAACATTCCCTTGACAGCCCAAGCGCCCTACGTGGAGTATCCCGCTGACCAGACGATGCAACCTTGCACCACAGCTCGGAAGCGTACGATTTACAAAAAATACATCAAAAAGCAGACCAAGGCGCGCGTGCGCGTATTTCTGGCGACGCGCGCATTATTTTTGTTCGATGGGGAAAAATGGCGGGTGGTCGGAATGTGCCGTGAATAGATCGCGCGAACGGATGTTTTGCGCGGGCGCGTGGGCGGGGCCGAAATAATGTCGCGGTTCAGGGGAGCCCGGGTCTTCGCCACATAACACGTTACTCGGACATGGTCAGGAAGTTATGACAGATTTCGTAGTCTTGTAGGACCTATGAATGGACGAAACCCAAAAACAAATGCTCAGACTCCCAACAATTATAACTTGATTCCCTGAATGAAGCAACATTTCATGACAACATACTGGTTTCTCTGATGAACTGATCACCTAGCTACAATAAACATCAAAATGCTCTAAATATTTTTTTTCGAACTTATCCTAACGGCCAGTAAATATTCACAAACTGCTTTTGCTCCCATTTTGCAACACACATTTGCATAAAAGCAACATTTAATAGAGTTTTATCTTAATAGCTATAGCTCGATAGTGCACCAGCAGAGAACTGTAATCTTAACACAAATATATCGAACAGTTACTATACCTATTTTAACCAATGCAATATCAACAAAGTTCCAATATTTTAAAAGTACGCAAAAAGGGGCCGCGAATAATTTCATATCTAAATTTAATCCGTATAATACGCATATAATCATAACATATATGCAGACGCTATACACAGACACATACATACACACATACGAACGTATACGCGATATTAATAGTGCGCGCGCGCCGGTGTCGGTATAAATATCGCGTAAAAATAATATGTATGCGGCGAGCGTTCGCTATATTTCGGGAAAAGGTCACGGTAATCTGCGGGCTTCGCTCCTTCACCTGCATTCGTCTTTATCTGCTCCACCGAGTTTTGTACGGCGCTCTATATTACAATATTAGGCTTCTACTCGCTTTACTACACAGCGCCCAGGTACCCACTTACTACTACTACGAAGGTTTATTTTATACTGACATGTGAACCGGTGTAAAAGTGAAATGCGAACAAAGATATTTGATAAATAAGTATAAGTTAACTTTGAACAGTTGTGGTTGGTGCTCATGTCGAGCGCGATGTGTATAATTGCCAGTATTTCTCCGTTTTATCAAAGGGCCGACAGTTGTTTGATGTCTGTTCGTATTGCGTTGTAACTGATTGATCTTATAGAAAGCTACCTACTCGCCCGCTATGCATACGCTTGGCTCATCCCATCGCTTTCTATGTATATATTTCGTAGAAAGAGTATTTTTGTACCTCGTTATATCAACGGAACATGGGGCACTACAAGAAATAAACAAGTTATATTTAGACCTATCATCAATACATATATCAACTGAAATACAAATCTGTCAGCATGTCGTTATTTTTGTCAGCTAAATATATAACTCCGCCGCTGTCGGGGATGTTCTTTTCATGCAATCATATTGTTCATTGAGTCTTTACTTCCACCGTGAGACAGCTGAATTTAATTAACATTTCAACCGCTTATCAACATTACAAATACGATAAATGCAAACGGCATCGCTTCACAAGAACCTATACATTATCCAATCATTAAATCAGTATTCTATTTATAGAAAATTATCACAATCAAAGATAATGTCAAGCTCGTTATCTTAACCCAGTAATTACAAGGTAAGTTGTCGAAGAATATAAATACTTAATTAGTATAGAACGAATGTTATTGAACAAGTATTACGGAGCTCTAGTACGCGTTAGATGTAATCGGGCCTCCCGCCCACTCGCATCATTATGTGTTTACAAACATTACATTACGTAACAAAAGAATGAGCGTGTAACAGCTTGTCTGTACCCTGCGCTAGTGACTCACGGCACTGAACTGAAACTTGTGACGAGGAAGGCGCCGGCAGGCGATACTATAGAGACAGTTTAGGTGCACTACATAACACTAGGACAATACATTAATGACAGCGAGGCTGAAGTAACAAAATATCGAACAAAGAAGAAGACTAATGGAGAACGAACAGAATGCAGAGAATAAACAATGAACCATTCCAAAAAAATCCCCAAAAGGTAAATACAATCTAAAATGTAAACAATATACGATAAAATATTTAACAAACATAAAAAGGATTTTACAAATAAAAAGAGGAATTGAACAAATAAATGAAAAATAAAAAACAAAGGACATGCACAACAGAAATTACATAGTTTGCTATAGACAAATAAAGAATTGAATTATGGGAAATAGTTGAAAAAGAGGAGGAGGTGAAGATGCAAACCTGCATGATCTGCTGGTGAAAGCTGGTGTCGGCGAGGGGCAGGCGCGGCGCGTGCGGCGGCGACGGCGTGTGCTGCGGAGACCCGTCCGCGCCGCCACCGCTCTCGTGCGCCATCTCTGCTGCAACAAGCAAACAAACAAACACTTTGATACAACACCGACAAAATGACATCAAACAGATTGAATGTCAGAGATATTTTATAATCACAAGGGCTTGCGAGATTGGTCGTTAAACACAAAATGCAACAAAAGCCTAGGATTAAGGGACACTGTCATATACGAGTATGTCCGCAGCGACATTGCAGACACAGCACATGTTAGTAGGTAGCGGTGCGCGATGTGTACGCGACCTTATGCCTGTGACCTAAATAACCTAGGCTGGGTGGGAGGGGTAGGCGACCTACCTAGTTACTACTCGATAAATACTTGTTATACAGTTGTAAAATGTTTTAGTGTTGAACTCGACAGAGTTCAATTGTTTGCGTAGTGTCCTCGAAAAACGCGAGTGTTTATGTCTGTGCTAATGTACGCGTACTCCACCACTTACAGGCTGTTTGCAAAGAGGAGCGCTAAGTGGAGCGCACCTCGAGGGCACTTTCTTTTTATTTTCCCTCCTCATTTTAGTTGTAACTGAGTTCCTCAGGCACCAGCGAAAGGCTTCTACTTATTACCAGCCACTTTAACTAACTCCAACATACCACAACTTTTTATTAGATTAATTCTTCTTGGAATTACGAGCACAGTAGTCTTGTATAGTACATGACGGCGCAATAATCACACTGCCCCGTACTTCCAATGTACTGTGTACGTATTGCAGTATGCAGGGAGCGATGTTTGCGAGTCCCGATGCGACCTGCTTCACCCGTTCCAATGTAGGTCGTTGGGGGATTGCGGCGAAGCCTGCGGGCGTCCCCGAAGGACGGGTGGTGGGGGAGTGCTCGCGAGGGGGGTGCGACAGTTATTTTTGGCTGTGGATATATTTAGAACAGCTGCCCGGCCGGGACCCGAGGACTCGGGGTCCGAGCTGGAGGTCACGACAGCATTAATTAATAGCTCAGTGAAGATGGGCGTGAAAGGTTAGAACTTATATTTAGCCTGCCTTGACGACGAGTATGTGATTCGGGGCACAAGATACAGGGACCGCAGTAATGTGGCTTACATCAAACTGCCGGCCACTGTAAATACTTTGGTTAAGGTCAGTTCGCAAGATCTATGCCCCAAGTATACGCCTATACAAAATATACAAAGATGATTCTGCTTGTTAATATGAAAGGTAACATCCAGTCTCTCTAAAACTAGAATAACCAGTACATGCCGTATGCAGTTTAGTATAAAATATATACATGTTAAATGAGATATCCAATTTAAACTGCGAGTGACCTGAGCTGTTTTAATTATTCACTCCGTTCCAGTTTCAGACGTGATCCGAAGACATGGACAAGTATTAGTGGCTAAGTAGAACAAATGCGATATCGGTGATTGGCTTATATTGGACCGAGGCCGATTTTAAATGAGTTTGGAAATAGTCTCCTGGGTAGCAGTCCACGAGAAAATGCTGAATAAATAAATCTGAATATGAGAATAATTGTAGCTGATTACATAAAACTTAGTAATACTTTTAATTATTTCTTTCCTTTCATTAAATTACCATCATCAACCAATCGTAATTACACTTCAAATCACATCTACGAAATGGCGTAGAGCAATACGTAGCAGTGCTCCAAACATTTCGTAGCGTGCTACGAATAGATACAATCAATCTACTTCTACGGGAGATGTAGCGTACTACGGAGCAGGACTTGCTACGGTCGTAGCACATTCTTACGCTACGCACGGCTACGAACCGCACCGGCGTAGCTCGTACAATTTTTAACTCAACATTTTATATATTTCATGTATCAAATAATATGCTTTTGTAAGTCAGAATTTGATAATGTAAATAATACAAACTATTACTTTTTTCAGTAGAAACAAACAACATGAATTGCGAATTGAAATATTTACATAGTACAATTAAATAATATTGAAATGAGGTTCAGGGTCGAGAGGTCAGGTCGGAAACGCGTGCGAGTTTGTACCCAGCTATATTTATATCGTCAAGTATCAATAATAAACAGTCTGTAACTTAAGAGTCAGCCAACCGTAAGGATTCTTCACTGCCTTTAATTCAATTACGCACTCTTTCCTCATTTACAGCGAAGTATAAATATAACACCAACTTCCCTGGAAGGGTTGTTATGACAAAGAAATTCTCAAAATTCATATTTTTATATATATATATATATGTATATATTACATGGAAATATTTCGCTCGTCACGAAAAATAAAGTACCGAGTGTCCCCGTCCTCCACAAATACAGTGAGGTTGTTCAACTGGACGCGCGCCTTTCAAATCTAAATACGTTTAATGATGCGTGTATTTTTTGTATTGTATTTTTTCTTTGGTTTACTTTGAATAAGGCTCCATATTAACATGTGCTCAATAAATGTTTTGATCTTTGGAATGTCGAGAAGACTTCGTATCCGGCTTGTGGGCGAATCGCTCGGCTCGCGACTTTGACCAGACCTTGGCCAAGCCTCTGTAAGTCATTTAGAAAAACAGAGTATTATAATGGCAGCAGTACAACAAAGCTGGATCAACAAAGCCGGTCGGCCGCCGCCCGCGCACCGCACCCCCCTCTTTTTATATTTAGAACACCCGGCAACGCGCCGCGCGACAAGTGAAGGACGCGCCCCGCCCGCGCCTCTCTACGTCCATCTCCCTCGCACGCACTCACTACAATAGCTGAGAAAACGAGAAGAAGCACAATACACAGCTAAATTATTGAGTTTTAAAAATAGAACATACACGCGAGCTACGAAACGTGACACACTCAAATTATTTTATAAATTCGCGGATATCTGTTTGTGTAGTCGCACTTAGAGCACTAGTGGCACCAGTAGCCAGTAGCGCGCCACGCGACTCTGTCTGCAACACATCACAACCACAACACGGAACTTCCACTACTGCCCACTGCTAATTGTTTTCAAACACTAAGCATTTACATACTTTGATTTGTTTTTCAATGGGAGGGTAAGATTTCGACTGATTACAACTTTTGTGAAAAGTAACATTAGTTTATTCAATAATTTACATTTTACGGCCGGTTTACATTTATTAACAAATTCAAGTGATTCCAAATATTTATTTAGTCTGTATCCACTTAGCATTACCTGAAGTACACGTGGAGAGGGGTTTGTTTGAAGTTCGTGGATTTGTTCCGAATTTGAGCAATTATTTTGTATTTTGTTCAAACTTAGTGTTATATCTATATCTCTTGCAAGCTCGTTAACCAGTAATATAAACAAGTAATGTCTAACAATTTAACTAAGAGATTTTGAAACTGCTTTCTGAAATGCTAAATTTCTATCAATAATATAACATTCCATATCTATTCTGCAATAAGAACTAAAAGTGAGGAAGCTTGTTTGTATGTATGCTATGTATCTGCGGTATATCAAACCAGTCCACTACAATAATAATATTGTAAGTATAACGAGAAATATGTTAGCAACAGTCCACTGAGCTCGGTTAGTTTTAGTTTAAAAACTAAGCAGACTGGTGTGTGTTTCTTAATTTTGTTTTTGTTAACAATAGATTTGTGTGGGGAAGCCACGTGATTGCCTTGTATAAATATAATATTTTTATAATTTCGCGTACACGTGACTTCGCGGATACGATGATTCTTGTGATGAACGATAATACAGCGAGAAGAACGATTTCCACTACCGACAGAGGTTAATGCATTTAGTGTTGATGAGTACACGTGACCAACTTGTTGCGGATTTTAAACCTGATTATGATGTGCGGTGCTTCAGCTAATTACATAAGCGAACAGATTAAAGTTAACATTTGTTGATGATATAGGTACACAAAGCACCGCTAATTAGTTAGCGGCGCTACACATCGACACAACTATCATTTACACAATATACATGTGTGGGTAATTTCATATCAATAGATATGTATAGAAACATTCGTCTATCACACACATCTTGGTATTTAAAAATCATTTTTGTGTCGGTATACGCAATAATTTAGTAAATAAGTTTAAATAAAAACGAGGGTAAAGATAAAATTACTCATAACAAACTTTGAATAAATCGAAATCAAAAATAATGAACGATCGAGCTATACAATACCCATATAAATATAGTGCTTTCTCATTGTAATTTTATGTTACTGAATGATATAAAATATTTCGATGATCTCATCTACAGCGCGCTTGGCGCAATGGTTATCGCCTCCAATTGTCAAGTAAAGTGCCGCCGGATCGATTCCAACATTCACATGTTGTTTTAGAATTAATTTATCAAATATTTGAAATTTGAAATTAGAAACAATTAAATCTTTTCTTTTTTTTTCCTTTCCTATTGTTCTAAATCTTATGTTAATTTTAATAGTAAATACTTTAGATTTATTTATACCTATAATATCTTTTATTTATATTTTAGTTCTAGTTATTTATTATTTAGAATAATCTCATTTGCTTCATGCATTTCAACCAACTTAAATAAGATAAAAACAGTAAAAAAGTAATTAACTGTGATTTCTTAATGGTTCGATACCTGAGTATATTTGCAATGTTTGTGGCGACCATAGAAATCTCGAGTCATTTTATTTTACACGCTTATGAAGTAACTACCGACTATTTAAAACATGTTTTTCAAATCACCCGACTTACAAAATAATTGCGTTCTTAGTTGTCAATTAATGAGGATTTCATAGTTTATTGCTACACTACTTATATTCGTGTGCAAAGTTATTTATTTTTACAAGATGTTCCAACACCTATCAACATTTAAAAAGGCTGAAACCATTGTTTTGCATGAGCAAAACATAACTAACAATAACTGAAATAGCAAGGCGTTTAATGATATCGGTGAGTAAATAAGATACTACGTTGATATTCTAAATAATATTTATTTCATTTTGTAACTCGACACACCAATTTTTGCACTAGAATAAAATAATTATTGCAACTTATTATGAAGTTCAATATTATAAAGATATATTAATAATTTATTATTAATTGTATTGTAACTTGACTTGTTTTTGTTAGGAGTGTTTCTTTAAAACA